GCGGCCCCCAACGGCTGGGTTAGCACTTGGCTGACGGCCCGGGACTCGCGGCGCCCAGCTCAAGCGCTGCAGCCACATCGCCACTGCTCCCGGTCGGCCTGAGCTCACTCCGGGCGGGTTCACCCTCAGAGCTGACCAGAGGGGCGCAGCGCGCAAAGCCGGGGCGCCCCCCCCCGCGGCCTCGACAGGTGGAAGCGCCCGAAAGAGCTCTCGCAGCTACACCCCTGCAGCCGCGTTGAGCGGACTCAACTTTCTTAAAGGGACAGGTGGTCGAAATCCGCATCTACCTGTGACCCCACTCTCCCTCCTGACCCTTCCTCCTTGGTGGGGATAGAAGGGCCTGCAATTGATGTCCCAGCCCACTACCTCCCTTTACAGGGGCCCAGGACGGACTGCAAGTTTTAATGCACCCAGCATCCCTTTGCAACTTCTTCTGGTCTAAATCACCCTCCCACTGCATCTCAACGCATGCTCGCAAGAGTGCAGTGGATGCCACTGTTGGCCAAGTTTGCAGAGGGGAGTCCTTGCACCTCGGAGCCCCCGAGCGTGCCAGGCTCACAGCTGCTGGGAAACACCCGCTGCAATCCCCTTGACCCTGCCGGGTAACTGACCCTTGGGGAAAAGTCCCACACACCGCCACTGCGCATGCTCCGAGCTGGACAGCTCCAGAGAGGGAAATTTAAAAACGGTTCGCGCTGCGACGGCAGCCAAATTGCGGACCGCGAGGGGCGAGCGCGAGGGAGCCCCTCTCCCAGAGGCCGGCCCGCCCCAGAGGCGCCTGCAGCGGCGGCCCCGGCGCGGATCGCTCCAGGTACCACCTTGTGGGGCTGTTGCTCCTCCCGGGACTGCGGGACTGCCTTCCCTGCTCCCTTCTTTTCTCCCTAAGAATCCTTGATTGACTTTGGGGGCAAAACTGGAAGTCTTTCTTTCATATGTACGTTTCCAGTTTGTAGTTTGAGAAATTTAGGAATGCCCCAATAATTTTTTTTATTTTTTATGGTTCTGTGTCAGGGGAAAGGCTGTACTGATTTTGCAGCAAGGGTATGTGCCGTTTCTGATGGAATTTCCATGGAAGAGACCCTGCAGGGATTACTCTCTAAACAACTCACCTCCCCTAGGAAACGTACACCATTAAATTGCAGTTTTTTCTGTTCATTTTTAATTCTATAGTGACCATAACTGAACTGTGATTGAGAATCTAAGGCTTGGAAAGAAAAGGTAGGGATTTTCTGATTCCCATTTTCCGAGTCCACATTTTCTGAGACTTGACATTTGGGTTCTAGACTCTTTCTGCTGCACTTGTATCTCACTCATTCTAAAGAATCTGAAATTTTGTTCCTTTCTCTTTGCTCAGAACCCTTATAAAACCCTATACAATTTTTCTGGGAAGGTGATCTGGGACACCCAGAAATCTTCTAGAATTTATTTTTTTAAAGTGTTTTAGTTGTTAGATCTCCATCCGCTTGATCTGTAAGAAAAGTGTGGGTTTCCACCTGTTCACATTGTTACTGATGTTACTTTTCTGTTTGTCTTCCCTCCAAGGAGATGGTAGAAAGTGACATCTCGACCATAATGTCAGGAATTATTCAAAATTCAGGGCAAATCCACCATCCCTCTCCACAGGAATACAGGTGAGGGTTTCACTAATGACCAAGTATATCTATTTTCAGATTGTTTAAAGTGTTTTTGTGCTGCCTATAGTTTCTAAAACAGACCAGGAACAACTGTTGAGTGAAATTCTGTAATTCTGCAGAAGAGTTCAAAAGTTCTGATTTCCACATTGGTCTTTCTGAGGGTGTCTGGGCTGTGACCCCAGGGGAAATGGACCAATAAATGCATACAGTCCATTGTCCTCTCCAGCAGAGGTCCCCTCCTGACTTGAAAACTGAACATACTGGGGACTGTTGAGAGAATAGCAGTCACTGTTTCCCTATCAGTATCCCTAAGGGGATTCTAGAAAATGCCCTCCACAAGTTTTATGATGGGAATTGGCTTCTGACTTCCATGGATGTTGGGAAAGTCCTGAGGACTCTGGGATTATTAGCTTGACTTTGTGGCTTTAAGCTGGTTCCTTACCGTCTCTGGGCCTCATTACTGCTTCAGTTAAGTGATGCTGTTGAATCAGATGATCTTAAATTGTAGTTTGTGGTACTGTAGGATAAGCACTGGACTGCCAACCTCAAGGTCTGTGGTCCAAAGCCATCAGTTGCTCCTCAGAAACCCTATACAGGGTCATTATGAGTAGGAATAGACTCGACAGCACTTAGCAACAACAAAGTTTCTTCTGGCATTCCTGGATGGTGCAACTAACTGAAAAGTTGGAGGTTACAGTCCTCCTGAGGCATCTCGGAAGAAACTCCTGGCAATCTTCCATTGAAAACCCTAAAGAACACAGTTCTGACACACATGAAGTTACTATGAGTCAGAAACAACTTCATGGCAACTTTTTTTTTTTTTTTAGCTGCTTCTCAGGCTTACTTGTTGGAATGGTAAATTAGGTGAAAACTGGACAAAAAAGTATTTTCTGAGCAGAGTAAAGCAAGGTACAAGTGAGGAGTGGTCTTCTGGGCTCTCTCTTTTTGTCCTCAAGCCTCAGAGCTGGAAAGGCCCTTGGGGGTCAACTAGCCCAGCCCCCTTCTTTTACAGGTGGGGAAACTGATGCCAAAAGAAGGGGACTGACCAAGGTCACACAGAGACCAGGAATGAGGGGGGAAGGATAGGAAAGCTCTGGAGCTCCCTCCCAGCCTCCATTCTTTGAGCTATGGAGTTCTGACCTGGTTCCCATGGCTCTACACTAGGGCTAACTCCACCTGGTGGACTGAGGTGGGAGGCAGCCCAGATTGTGGAGCTGGGCTAAGATATGGCTGACTTGGGAAGCGCAGTATATCACTTTGGATCAGCACTGTTACCTGGGGACCATTTGACCCCATAGAGCCATTGAAATTCACCAGCAGTGCCTGCCAAGGGTACCGAGCCCTCAGTTAGAGGGAGACTGCTTTCCAAGCACGTTGCCACTGCTTTCTGAAATCCAAACAAGGCTACCAGTTCAAACAGATATTTGCCAAGAACTTGCTGTGTGTGGTGCTAGGCCACTGGACATTCCACAGAACGGCTGTGTGTTGGCCCCTCACTCACCCTTGCCATGGACGATGCTCTGATGAGCCCCAATGTGCAGGCGAGGAAACTGAGGCTCAGAGAAATGAAATGGCCTTTCCCATGAGCACATAGCCAGGGCCTTTGGGCTTCCTTCTAGCACTGTTGTTAAGTGCTGTCAAGTCAATTCTGAGTCATGGTGACCCTGTATAGGGTTTCTGTAGAGCAACTGGTGGGTTTGAACTGCCAATCTTGGGGTTCTAAGTCCAGTGCTGAGACTACAGTACCACACCAGGAATCCCCTTCCAGCACTGTTCTTGTTCAGTGCCATAGAGTTGGTTCCAACCAATAGCAAACTTGTATAGACAGGTTTCTGAGGAGTGGCTGGTGAGCTTGAACCACCAACCTTGTGGTTTAAATTGACTTTGCAGTCCAGCACAAATACCCACAGCAGCACACCAGGACTCCCTTCCAGCACTAGAAGGTTTAAACAATGGCAGGTGGGGCCGTGTTGGCTGTGTCTGTTACAATCCCAGCTCCTCTGGAATACTCCGGAGCACTCTGAACCTGTTTGTTCATCTGTGGAATGTACATATAAAAGTAGCCACCACAGAGAATTTTTACAGACACTAAACAGCAACTTCTGAGTCTGCTGCTGGCCAGTTGGATGGCCTTGGGTGGGCAGTTTCACCTCTGTGCCTTCGTTTCCGTGTCTGTACAGTAAGGATCTCTGGTAGTGTAGTGGTTACGAATTGGGCTGCAAACTGCAAGGTCAGCAGTTCGATACCACCAGGTGTTCCGCTGGAGAAAGATGAGGCTTTCTGCTCCTGTAAAGATTTACAGCCTCGGAAACCCTGTAAAGAATAGTCTTGGAAACCCTATGGGGTAATTCTACTCTGTCCTATAGGGTTGCTAAGAGTTAGAATCAACTCAAAGGCAATGAGTTTTAAGAAATCAACAAGATTTTGGGTGTCACAACTATTTTTGGCTTGGCTGCTAACTTGTTAAGTGCCATCGAGTCAGTTCCGACCCATAGCGACCCTGTACAGGGTTTCCAAGGGTGTAAATCTTTACGGGAGTAGAAAGCCTCATCTTTCTTCCGCTGAGCGGCTGGTAGTTTCAAACCGCTGACCTTCAGGTTTGCAGCCCGATTCATAACCATTATGCTACCAGAGGCTGCTAACTTAAAGGTGAGCAATTGGAACCCACTCAGTGGTGCCTCAGAAGATAGACTTGGAGGTCTCATTTTGCAAAATCAGCCATTGAAAACCCTGTGGAGGGGTTCTAGTCTATAACACATGAAATCACCATGAGTCTGAATCAATTCAGCAGCAACGGTTGGGTTTGTGGTTTAATCCATGGTGTTGAGCTTTTCTAGCCAGCCTAGGGGAAGGGCAGGGTCTCCCACAGGCATAGGAGGAGGGACTGAGTACCTGCTGCGTGCCAGAGACATCTATAGATAGTGTCTTACTTAACTCTCCTGCGGTCACTTTTCTGATCCTTATTGTGGTGGTGGTGGTGGTTATATGCCATGGAGTCGGTTCCGACTCATAGCGACCCTGCATACAGTTTACGAGGCTGTAAATTTTTATGGGAACAGAAAGCCTCATCTTTCTCCCACAGAACAGCTGGTAGTTTCAAACTGTTGTCCCTGAGGTTAGCAGCCCGATTTGTAACTACAGCACCATACCAGGACTAGCCTTCCATAAAGACACCAGAAGTAACTGCTCTGTAGGTAAATGAAGGTTCTGTTTCCAGCTTTGAACAGGCCAGGTTCCTCAGTTTGTTTCTTCATCTTTAAAATGGGCATGACATGCACACATCCCTTAGGTGGTTGCTGCAAGGAGTTAATCAACAGAACTTGTAAAGTATGAGACGCACAACTCGTAACCATTGCTGTTTAGTAACAACAAAGACCTCAGCCTTCTACAGGAGAAGGGGTTTATGAAGGGCCCAGTAGGGGTGGTATGTGTGGAGAAGTTAGGAGGGGTAATCCTGAATGCAGGTGCCCAGGCACTGCCCAACAGGGAGCCCGACCAGGCTCAAGCCCAGAGATCTGGACACTTGGAGATCCTGGGTTCTTGTGCCCCATGTTCCTTGGCCACCCCAGCTCACAAGCTGTCTGGGGCCTGGGCAACTTCTGCTCTCTGGAAATAGGAAGGCAAGGTAGGCAGAGAGCTTAGCCTACTTACTAACTTACTAACTATCCAAAGGGCCCATCCACACTGGGTCCTTACTGCTCAGAATCATCTAGGGTGCCCAGCCTGGCACAAACATTCCGTATTCAAACAAAGTCCAGGGTTATTTTCTTGTACTGAACAACCAGATTATGCAGATAACAGTAGGAGTGGTTTCTTGCCCCTTAACGACCTGCCATGCTCTGTGCCAGGCTCCTACAACCATGCCATGAGGTTAGCACTATTATGGTGCCCATTCAACAAGGCTCAGACAGGCCCAATAGCTTAACAGGAGAACACAGTACGAGGTAAAGTGGGACCTCGGTCCTGAGGCTGTCTATCCAGAAGATACTGTGGTCATGCCCCGGGTCCCCCAGATGAAGGGCATAGGTGCTGGAATAGAGTAAGCTGCCCCACCGTTTGGCAGCTCTGTGATCCTGGACAAGTCACTGTCCCTCCTCTGTGCCTTGGTTTCCTCATCCATGAAATGGAGCTGTTCAAAAGTTGTTGGGAAGATGCTGCTCTTCCATCTGAGCCAGGCATTCACCTGGACCTGGGACATGGCACTTTTTCACAGAAGAGGAGCTTTTATGATTATGCAGCATCTCCCCTTCCCCTCACCCTCCTCACCCCTTACCCTGACCTTCCAACCACTGCCATTTTTCTCCCCACACAATAGCTCCTCGGAAGTTTATGGGCTTCTCATCCACCCTCCCACATCTCCAGAGGATGGATGCTCAGGCTGCTGGTCCAGCCCCCTGCCCCCACCCCCCATAGCAGCCGCCTGCCCATCCACCTCCACCCCCACCCCAACTGGCTGCGTTTGGCAGTTAACTTTCAATGCTTGTGCTGGGAGGGCTTCAGCAGTTAGAGGCGGTAGCCCTGTCTCCAGGGAGTCTTAGGGAGCAATTGGCATTTGCAGCAGTCTCAGCACCGCCCCTAAGGTTGGCGGCAGCCCTGACTTCCCCGGCTCACTATGGGTAAGCCAGGTCTCCCCTGAGCTCAAAGGCTAGAAAGGCAGCTCACCAATTAAGCCATTTAAGGTACTAATGAATAATGACAGTTATTAAGAGCCTACTGTGTTCCAGGCACCTGCTAAGCTCCTTAGCAAGGGACCTATCCCAGTGAGTCTTCATAACAACCACCAGGGTGACAAGTGATACATCAGCCCATTTTGCAGATATACAGAGGCTTGCCTAATGGTATTTGTTTAGGAAGAAAAGGTGGTTGTTTATAAGTGCTGTTAAGTTGTTTCTGACTCATAGCAACCCTGCATAGGGTTTCCAAGGAGCTACTGGTGGGTTTGAGCAGCTGACCTGTGGTCAGCACTCCAGTGGTTTTCCTGTAGTGCTACATCAGGA